AACAATAAAGTTTAAATTATAGACTGCGTGGAGATAAAAACAATTTTAATAGAATGTTTTTTGTTACGATTTAAAGTTTAATTTTTAGTTTTAGAATAAGAATTTAATTTGTAATGTCACTGTTATTTCAATTTTCTTTATATTTATTAGTTTGTTTTTTATGACTCGTCCTATATCTGTAAAGGTCTTTGGATTAATAAATAATTTATTTATTTATTTTATTTATTTAAATTGCTACGATACTTATATAGTATACCCTGTATATTATAATATTACAGTGTATAATAACATAACAAGAAAAACGTATTAAAATCAAAACAAAAATCGATTATTAATGGACAATCTTTTAGCTACCGCCTCATTATATTCCATATCTAAACTTATAAATAAATATGTATGTAATTTCTCTATGGCTATTAAGTCTAAACGTTACAACAGCGGTCATTTATGGTAATCACAATGACTATCAATAAGCGAGGATATGCGGCATAGTTAGCCTTTCAATTGATCTGTTCAAGGTCGCCATTAGCATTGTTAAACGCCAATACTTAACTAATTAATTTCTTTAATCCACACGGAACATTTCAATGTTAATGGAAATGCCGATGGTAACAAGATGCTCGTTAACGAAATAATTCATAAAATGATACGAACCTAACATCTTTTTATTTATTAATTAATTAAAAAGCAGCAAATTAATTGGGTAGGTAGCTGTACCATAACTAATTTTTTCTACAAGTTTTACTACTTTTTTATTCGTTGAAGCATGTTGAACATTAAGAATATATGGGTGAATATTTTAAAAGTGTATTCAATCGGTTCTGGCTTGTTATTTCAAAAGTTAATATTCCACTAAAAATAAAATACTTGATGTCTAGTTTAATTAACTATTTTTACTTGATTCCTTACTATTTTAGTCTAAACGAGCATAGTAAAAAATATATTTTAATTTTTGTTTCGCAAACGTCATTACCGTGCCTTGTTCACATTCGAAGAACAACAACATATTCTTTTCTTACATTTATTTACAAATTAAATCATGCAATATCCAGACGAAGAAAATACAAAATAATACAATGCAAGCAAGAAATTGCATTTTAAAATGTAAACTTTTCTTTTAATGCCGTTTAACTTTGTTCACACCCATGAGCGTCACTGCCGTGGCTACTTAAAATGTGTCTAATTTCATATTTAAATACGCGATACATTCGGAAAATGCCGGAAGTTTTCGAACGTCTGATATGGAAATATCCTGCCTGTCTAACTTCCACTTCCATATGCCACTAGCATATGTCAAACCACCAAAGTTGTGACGTGCGCCGAATGAAAACGAAAACAGCTTGTTACGTCCAAGTCCGTCGGGGTAAGTATTATTTCAAAGTTTATGGACATACAAAATATTTACATTAATACAAAGGAGTCTTGCATTAACAAAAAGCAAATGGTAACTTGAAAATTCCATTACATTTTCGAATAAACATTTTAAAACACTCTAACCTTAAAATCATCATTACCGTGCTCGTCATTGTCGTGTCCCTTACATGTAACCAATTTAAAATATTTCATTTCAGTGGAAAATTAATTAAAAGACGCAGAAGAATAAGAGATGACCAAGTAAAACCGTGGGTTCAACTTTCTAAAAAAGACAAAAAGTCTTCATGTCTATGTTCATGCGTGGAAAAGTCATAAAAGTGCAAAATTAATAAGATTTGCAATTTTTTTATGACAGTTTTAAAATATTCACCCGTATAGGACATGATATAGCCATTTCATAAGGAATGATGGTAAAAATTTAAAAATATAAAAAAATTGTGGTGATCCATTTAAAATAAAAAAGTTGATATCGCCTCCGTTAAAACCGGAGGAGGAATTTTGTTCAAAATAATTTAGAAAAATAAGTAATTTAAATGATATTATAATTTTTATACAAATTTGAATTCAATATCTTTTGCCGTTTTCCATACACGGTGGTCAAAACTTAAGTATAGGACGAACAAAAATGCCAACCAAAACTGATAGCATATTTTGATTATAGACCCTTTTGGTAACACTAACATGTATTTATCAAAATCCCAGCTGATCCTATTTTAAAGTTTTGCAAACTTTTTTGATTTTCTATTTCTATATATTGTAGTTACAATTATTGTACTAAAACTACCTGTACAATTTTAATAAAATTAAGCAAAATAATAAACTTTGTATCATTTAAATTACTTTACTCCCCAGTATTAATTTATTGAGTCACCTATTATTTTTTACCACTCAAAACAAAACATAACAAAAAAAACGAAGATTTATTTATATCTTAAATGTTTTTTATAACAAAAAATACTGGAAGTTTGTCTATGAAATAATTACAAATTGCAAATTTTGTAAAACAATAATTAAGGTGGTTATGAAAATTGCTATACGTTATAACGCAAGTGACATTTTGCTTTAGTTGTTTATTTAAGGTATACTTTATAAAGTTTAAAATAGTATTTTAAAATAAAAATTAAACCGAAATTAAACTTAAGCCATGAAGAAAATCGAAATATGGTATGTGCTGGCTGTGGAGACAAAATAGTTTTTGGTAAACGAAAAATTCAGAGTTTAGGGTTTCTGAGAAAATATAAAAATTACTGCAGACTTTTTCAAACGAAAACTTTAACTTAAGTGATTCAAAATTTCCTACTTCAATATGGTAAAAACGGTATTTTTTCATAGCCACAATTGCCAAATTTTTAAAATTTAGAAATTGCTAGAGAATTTCGCGGCAGCCAAGAATGTATGTGCTTTATCTGCAAAATGGCAAAATATAAAGGGTATACAAAATTATTAAGGGACGAGGACGGACGAACGAACTAGAGTTTTGATATGCTCTTCCTTTCTAGGGGATATTTCTAGATGTAAGAAGCATGTTTGTACAGAGACTGAAGAATTTAAAAATACTGTTTCCATGTTAAAAACAATTCCATGTAAAACCCAAGAAAAAGTTTTACTGAAAATTTAAGGCAAGCAGTAATCGATTTTGCTTCAAAGAATCTTTAGTTATTTATTAGTTATGTATTAGGTACCTTAAAACAATAAATAAGATATAGCAAACTGTATTTTACATTATTTTGTATTTATAACGTAATGGGGTAGTTAAATTTTTTCTGACCTATACTTTTTATGGTTTTATTCAAGGCGTTTTGTAATATTAAACATTTCTGTGAAATCAGAATTTCAATTGAGTTTACCGTTTTCGAGATATTTACAAAAAATATAAATTTTTATGACGTCACAAACCCCGCCATGTGACCAACATTCTAAGATTTCTATTGGTTGAAAATTACCCTGTTGTCAAGTTGTCTTGTTAATGATTTCATTCGGTTATGTCAGAAAATACCCGAAGAGGTTATGTACAAATACTGTCACTGTCAGTTGAGTGAAAGAAGAAGAAGAGGAGGTTAAAGAAAATTCTGAAATTAAAAGTTTTATTGATAGGTTTACACATTGAAACACCGTGTGAAACCTAATAAAATGTAATAAATAGGTACCTAATAACTGTCTAAAGCAGAGTTTAATATATTTCATAGAAAAAAGTGGCAAAATAAAGCTGAAAATGAATGAAATAAATTTACAAAAAATAACAGTAAATGTAAGTTAACAATGGTATTTATGATATTTGTGTATAGTTTTTATAAAACTTGCATCCCTGATGATGAGCATCAAAACCTTTTGTAAGATTAAAAAAATGTATAACAAACTTTTGGAGTGTTCGAAGATACTAAGCTCTAGAGTACATTTTTGTACTTTTCGACAATTCTGGTTTAAATATTGCTGCAATAACGTACATAGTAGGTAAAGATAGTGCAGGGTTTACAAATAGACATTTTGATTAAAATTATTCAAACAGATGGTCACCAAATTCATTAAGTACCTATCTTCCTTATTACGAGGTATCATATTACTGTTTGATATTTTAGAGTCCAAGATATATCTAAAAGAATATAAAGAATACTAATGAAATGCATTTACGGCAAAATATGATTATAATTATAGGTACTTACTTTATTTGTTTAAAAGCTCCAATGTTCAATGTAACCAACCATTCCACAAGATTCCTCTGCTTTGGAGTCCGTTATTAATAAATCAGTTATCTAATATCAATTACAAATAACATAACAATAACATTTATTTTCAATAATCTAAATTAAAAAAAAAACATAACCCGAAAAAAAGAAACGTCAAAAAATCAATTCTTCTTCTTCTCAAGTAAAATTTTAGATCTAGTAGTTTTAAAACTAAAATATTATAACGTGGCGCCATCTATCGTAAGAATCTTAAACTAAACACCATAGAAAAAGCTGGCAACGTTGGCAATAGCCTAGTGACGTAATTAGGAGATTTTTTTTTGTAAATATCTCGAAAACGGTAAACTCAATTGAAATTCCGATTTCACAAAAATGTTTAAAATTACAAAACGCCTTGAATAAAACCATAAAAAGTATAGGTCAGAAAAAATTTAACTACCCCATTTATCCATATTTCAGTCATGTATCTGCCAAATTTTTAAAAACATTTGATAATGGTACTAGAGTATTTTATCGAAATGGCATAAACAATAATTATAAAAATTATAAAAATTATTTTAAAATACTAAGAAATATGCAAAACTTTAATAAAGGATCAGCTGGGATTTTGATAAATACATTTTTGTGTTACCAAAAGAGTATATAATCAGATTATGTTTTGGTTGGCATTTTTGTTCGTCCTATACTTTAGTTTTGACCACCGTGCATAAACGACCATCGATCATGATACACCCTATATAAATGTTGCAGATTGACATAGATTTTTATAAAAATTGTAATGGACCAATTTACCTAAAGAAAAGTAAGATTTAAAAGTCTGCTAAATTAAACTGAATTTAAACTGTCCTAAAACCCTAAAACAATGTTTTAAATGGTTGTGGATACGAAAACCGTATTTTCAGTACTTTTAAACAAACTTTTAAACCTATAATAAAAAATTACCTATAATGATTATAGCTATTATTGTTATAGACATTCAAAGCTGGCATGGACTCTCTTCTGGGACGAACACCATTACCACCAACTCCTCCGAAATATCCGAAATTATGAAAGTCCCTCTTTTGGCTTATGATGCTGCCAAGGCTGTCCCGCTTGTTGGTCACGTGCACCACGTTTCCCACAGAACCTCTGCGGCCATTTTTACCGTGCACGTCGCATTTCGTGCTTTGCTTGGTCTCCACCTCCACGCGAACCTCAGGCGGGGGCTTTTGCTCCAGTTTTACTTCGGTGAAGAGGGCTTCCAGCCTTTTAATGGCCGCAGCGTGGTTTATAGCCGTGCCCATGGCGGTTTAATAATCACTAGTGAATTGGAAAATATGTATTTTAAGTTTGTTTTATTTTGATTTAAGTTTCTTGTGATATGTACTATTAGGGTGTTCCAAAAAAAGTCGATAATTTTTTTTTTCGATTCCACGTGAAATTCTTGTTATATATGCTATAAAAAAAATTCTGTAAAAATTTGAGCCCTTAATATCAACTTGAAGAACTCCATCATCGAATTTTAAGATTTTCCATTGATTTAACATGGAAAAATGATTTTTTAACCTTCATTTCTCCTGCAAACTATGTAGAACAATATTTTTCTGAAAAACCATCACTGATCCTTCTTCAGCATTAAATTCTGTAAAAAAAAGTTCTTAGGGTCCAGTCTCTAACGTCAACCATCTGGTTTTTATTTGCGTTGAAAAATATATGTGTAAAATTTTGATCTCAGACCATAAAGTTTGAGAAAATTTTAGTAGATCGTTCAATGTTTCACAAATCTATCGCTAGTAACAAATTCTGAAAAAGATTCGAATTCAAATTTGAAAATTAATTGAGTTATATCTCAATTGTTATAGGATAATATTGATTTGGACTTCGAATGCAAATAAAAAAATTACAAAATAAAAATTTGTCATTTATCACATAGATTTTATTTGAAACAATTGTTTTTGTTTTTTGTGTAACCGGCTTATTACAGGAATTGCAGATAAAGGATTTTTTTTTCTTTCTATTAACTGTTGTAATTGGAATAATATGTTATAGCCAAAAACTGTTATATTAAATGGAAAAAATAATAAAATTAAAAGAATTGAAGCGTAAATTCAGCGTTTTGTTGACTGTTATAAAGAAATTTTGATATTTTGTTGATAGATTTTCAAATTTTTAGTAAAATTTATTATGATAGCGAATAATCATTTAAAAAGATAATACAAGACTCAGAATTTTGGAGCCAAAACTGATACAAAAAATTTTCTTGGCACAGATTTGTGAAACATTGAACGATCTACTAAAATTTTCTCAAACTTTATGGTCTGAGATCAAAATTTTACACATTAAATGGAAAAAATCGAAATTTCAAAAAATCTATATTTTTCGACGCAAATAAAAACGAGAGGGTTGACGTTAGAGACTGGACCCTAAGAACTTTTTTTTACTTTAAAGCTGAAGAAGGATCAGTGATGGTTTTTCCGAAAAATAATGTTCTTCATAGTTTGCAGGAGAAATGAAGGTTAAAAAATCATTTTTCCATGTTAAATCAATGGAAAATCTTAAAATTCTATGATGAAGTTCTTCAAGTTGATATTAAGGGCTCAAATTTTTACAGAATTTTTTTTAGCATATATAACAAGAATTTTACGTGCAATCGAAAAAAAAAAATATCGACTTTTTTTGGAACACCCTAATGTACTATGCTCCACACCTCAAAGTCCCACCACGTGACAACGTACGGAACGCAGTCTTTTGAAAATTTGGCACAAGGCTTTTCAGGTTATGTATCAAAATATAGTCAATAAAAGAAATAATATTTATAGTGTTACCGCTTATGTTTAAGCGTTAAAAGTTAATAAATCTTTATAGTATCACAATAACAATGGTTGGTTTAAGAATTTAGGAATAAAAATACTGCATTTAATGAAATTCCAAAGTGGAAGGTGCAATATAAGTGATATTTTTGAGCATTGGGTCTATATTTCTCTATAAAATAGTTTTAACTGAACCGCATTTATTAAAAAAAATCGAACTTCTCTATTATGGAATAAGAATATCTATATCAAAGGTAGGTTAATGTATTAGAACAAAAAATATCATCTAATTTTGTATTTTAAGGCTAAAAAAATCTATTTTGACCAAAATAAATAAGTGGATTATTTGGAAGAGTGTGTTAATACGGTCATAAATAAATATAGGTATGCTAAATAATTGTTGAATATGGTTCAAATTAAATTGAAGCTTTTATACTTCTAACGACAAAACTTGTGCATACCTCTCGGCATACCTACTTTAAGTTAGATTATAAGAAAACAAACAATTTTTGGAGAAACTTGAAATGTGAAAATATTTAATACTTCCATGACATGTGATTTATTAAAATATTAAAGTTATTATGATTTTTCGATGTAGATCAAATTCAGTCGAAGCTTTTTAACTATTTGTATTGACAAAACTTTATGTAGGTACACTTTAAGCTGGATAAGAAAAACTACCACATTTTTAAATACCATATTATACTGTCTTTTAAATAATCCAAAATACTTTTTGGTCAAAATAAATTTTTCTAACCTTAAAATTACAAAATTAGATGATATTTTTTGTTATAATATATTAACATACCTTTAATACAGATAATCTTATTCCATAATAGAGAAGCTAGATTTTTTTTAATAAATGCTGTTTAGTTAAATTATTTTATGGAGAAAACCAGATATTTGGACCAAATGCTCAAAAATATTACTTATTTGGCACCATAAACTTTAGAATTTCATTAAATGCAGTATTTATCTTCTTAAACCATCCATTGTTATTGTAATGTTATAAAGATTTATACATTTTTAACGCCTAAACATAATATTATTTCTTTCGTTGACTATACTTTGACAGATACATAACCTGAAAAGCTTTAAATGCCAAATTTTCAAAAGACTGCGTTCCGTACGTGGTCACTTGGTGGGACTTTGAGGTGTGGAGCATAGTACATATTTATTAGGGTGATTAAAAAAAGTCGAATATTTTTTTTTTACTTCCGACACTGAAAAATGGGTTCTTAGGCACATCAGGAAAGTGCTCCTTCTCATCAGTTTTTCATTTAGCTATTATCCATTGACCGCTGTAGTTTTCAGGCCACTGTAGACCTTATTTAATGGCAATAAATCCACGTATTTTTTTTTTAGATTTTAACATACTGGGTACGCTGGGGACAATTTAATTTAAAATGTTACCATTTTTTAATGGTTAAAAAATCGAAAAAGCAACGTTGTTTTATAATTTTGAGTATATCACGTTAAAGTACTGATAATTAACTATTATTTGATATATGAACTTCATGCAAATTATTTTTATTATTTCTACGAGAGACATAATTTTTAAGTTAGGCCTTCAAACATGTTTTACAAAGTATATATTTTTTTATCTAGTTTTATAAGATAATGTATTATAAATTACATATAATATATTATATACAATTCTTACATATTTATTTTAAAAAAAATCGCCATAGATGGAGCTAAAATTACTTTTATTTATAAATTTAAAATTTTTCCAAGTTTACTAATTTTGATCATAGTAGGCATCATAGACTTTTCTCTAAGGTAACCTACCATTAGAAGCATGAAAGATAATTTGACAATTCAGTTTATAAGTTGCAAATGACTGATTGCGTTTCAATTTATAAGTGTACTATAAACTCAAAACATTAATTTATTAAAATGAATAAACTAAATAATAATTATAAACAGTGTCAGCAAGTTAGAAATTATAACCCACTTTAATTTTTTTTTTGCTCCACAACCAAGCTTCAATTTATTTTTTACTCGATACGCAAGCTTCAATACTGAGGAAAGTAATATTTACCCAATAAATAAATTAGAATAAAGACTTTATTTTTTAGGTTGCGATCGGCTATTTAGATATATGTATATTTTTTATTCAGTTGTTTTTCGCTTTTTTACAATTAGTTATTTTGCATTTTTTATATTTAATATAGTGCTATACAGGGTGTTTCTGGAGAAACGCAAACGATATGGATTTGAAATTTTAATAGAATATACAATTTGATTTTATTATTATATTAATTTTTTTCGTTAAAATTTTGCTAAATGCACGTTAATCAGAAATAGCCTCTAATTTTTTTGTTATTAGGTTTGCTGACATGGGGTTGGAATTTTTTGAATATTAAAGGTTTTTTAACAAATAGCTTGAGATTAGGCAAACTTCAAACAATAATAACGTTTTTATTATAAATGCAAAACCCTGTATTATAATTAAATATATAATTAAAGAATCTTACGATTGGTATTATAATAACTGTTTCCTAAAGTTAAAATTTCAGAGACATTTAACAATTTCTAATATTTTCAATACTATTTTGTGTCAACAAACCTGTGAAATTCTACATGTGGGTTAATGTGACAGTATTCATGGTTACCACTTAATCTGTAATTGTTTAAAATTAATTAAAATATTTGATTAAAAATCTCGAAAAATATTTACTTTAGGTATAGGATATGGTATAGCCATTTTACTCAGAATTTTATGTAGAATTCAAAAATGTAAAAATATATGAGGTTAAATAAAATAACAAAGTTAAGTATTATTTTGTTCAAAATAATTTAGGAAAAAAGTCTAAATCGAATAATTTACGCTAATAAAATGTCTTTCGCGATTCCCTAGAAACTTCTAACGTACTACATACGTGAAACACCCTGTATATTAAACGTCATTTATGTGTTAGGCTATACTTAATTATTAATTAAAGATACAACAATATTTGTATAAAAATGACAAAATGTACTAAACTAAACATTTATTAATACTGCTTCTGCTGATACAAAACTGACCCTGGCCACAGAAACATAATATGCATAAAAAAGTTAATATATCAAATAATAGTCAAATATCAATACTTCAACGTGTTATACTCAAATTTATAAAACAAAGTTGCTTCTTCGATTATTTACCCTTTAAAAATTGTTAAATTTTAAATTAAATTATCACCAGCGCCCCCTGTACGTTAAAATCTAAACAAAATGTTTTCATGGATTAATTGTCATTAGAAAGATCCACATTTTAACCAAATTTCTTTTTTTCTTGCAAAAAAGTACTGCATTTAGATAAAGAAATACGGTAAAAAAGATTCAATCGATTTCTTGAACCCTTGCAAATCGACCGTTCGATCCTTTCGCAAAACCGTAGTTAAACACATTAGACCCTTTTTGTAGAGCATTCAATTTCCTTCAAAAATGCTTAAATTTGGTGAGCACTTTCTAGAGGTGCCTTAGAACGAATTTTTCATTATCGTAAGTAAAAAAAATATTCGA